AGATATAGAGAACAAACTGGTGGTTACCAAAGGGGAAAGGGAATGGGAGAAGAACAAATTAGCAGTTTTGGACTAGCAGATAGAAACTGCTATATATAAAATAGATGAACAACAAGGTCCTACTGTATATACTACAAGGAACTATACTCAATATCCTGCAATAAACCATAACAGAAAAGAATATGAATATATATATGTATATACATATAACTGAAAAAGAATATATATAACTGAATAAGAATATATATATAACTGAATAAGAATATATATAACTGAATAAGAATATATATAACTGAGTAAGAATTTTATGTGTAACTGAAAAAGAATATATATAACTGAATAAGAATATATATATAACTGAATAAGAATATATATAACTGAATAAGAATTTTATATATAACTGAATAAGAATATATATATATATAACTGAATAAGAATATATATATAACTGAATTAGAATATATATATAGCTGAATAAGAATATAGATACATATAACTGAATAAGAATATATATATATATATATATAATAGAATAAGAATTTTATATATAACTGAATAAGAATATATATAACTGAATTAGAATATATATATAGCTGAATAAGAATATACATACATATAACTGAATAAGAATATATATATATATAATAGAATCACTTTGCTGTACACCAGAAACTATCACAACACTGTAAATCAACAAGACTTTAATTTTAAAAAGCTGTCATCTTGATTATGCTAGGGCTCAGTGAATCTAACAGATATATTGCAAGAGTCTGTCACACAGCTTTAACCAAAAGAAGGCTCATGATTTCCTATTACTGCAATCAGAAAAACCCTGTTGACCTAATGACCTGGATGGGAACAAATGGTGCAAAATCTTTAAAGGGTCCGGCTCTACTTATTGAATCACTCACCACAACCAAGTTTCTAAGACTGTCTGAGTGCCACTGAATGATCAGTGGTTAGAAAGGAAAAGGAGCTATTCTTCAAGGCAATAGATGCTGCCAGTAATATTGCCAGGAAGAGACGGATAAAAGTCAGGCTAACACGGCTGGAAAGGAGAGCACTGAAAGAAGCAGCATCTATCAAACCCCTGCTCTTCCAGAGACGTCTTATTTTTGAGATCTGTGAATTTACATGTATTACATGTATCCATTCAATAGTCCTTAACCAAGGGTTGTATCAGAATCTCAGGGAAGTATTTCTAAATACCTGTATCCAGATGTGAGTAGACTTATTCAATCAAAATCTTCAGGGGAGAGCCAGGAGGAAAAGCAGGAGGACCAGCTGCGCTGTCACTTGCTCCCCACCTACAGCCACAGCCCCGCAGGGGAGATACAGCAGGCTGAGCATGGGAGACCCCAAAGTGAAGGTGTACATGGAGGGCCATGTGGCCACCAGCACAAGTGAATGCCCCTGCTGGCTGTCAAACATGACCTGACCTCACTTGCCCAGATTATAGAACCTGGGATCCTGGGGTGCTCAGGGCCTGTGGCTTGCTGCCTTCCCTGCCCAGGTGCAGTCACCCAGCTCCCCCTGCTGGGTGCTGGGTTCCTTCCTCCTCCCACCCATCCCCAGGCAGGCAGCCCGCCCTTGCCATCACTTCACTCCCCGCAAGCCTTCATCTTCTGTAGGCTCTGAGCCTACCACCCACCCCCAGGCACTTCCTAATGGGAAGTTGCTCCTTCTAGGGTAGAAATGCGGCTGGGAGACAGAGCTCTGCCCTTTCTGTGGGCACTACCTCTAGCCCCTGGCCTTGGCTTTGGAGTTGTTTCCATGATAACAGGGCCTGATGTATTCAGTATACATTCTACTATAAATAAAACACCTGTAGCTAGAAAAACCCCTGTATTTCAAATATCTTGTAAATAGTCAGTTGAGCTATACCTTGTTTATCGCCTCGATGTTTGCATTACAGCGGAGCAGCTCTGCTGCAATTGATGTTTCTTCAGCCAAGACAGCATAATGCAGAGCAGTGTTTTGACAGTTGTCTTCAAGATTCGGGTCAGCACCCTGTTTCAGCAGGATAGTGACACACATTTCTTTCCGGCATTGTACAGCCTGTTGGTATCATGCCAAGAAGCAGACTGTAAGTGCTAGGCATTCCAAGTTAACATTCCTCAAGTTCCAGCACTTTGTTACATTTAAAACAGATAAATTCATTTTTATTCTAAGTAAATCGAATCCATCTCACGTGGACACGGTTGGCTGCTACACACCTTGATGAGAGCTGTCTTGCTTTCCTCATCACGAGCATTCAGGTCACACTTCCACTGGACAAGGAGAGCCACCACTGATGACTGGCCGCTGGCACAGGCTAAGTGTAGGGCAGTCCTGTGAACATGAGAGGACTTTTTAGGAAATTAGAGTGTACTAGATCAAAGATACAGTTACTCGTGTAATTGTAAACATTCAACAGCATGCTATTCCTATCCCTTTAAAACTAACAGTCTTCTTATCTTAGTTCTTTCTATGGGGAAAGAACAATATTTATTAGCTCTTATTACTCACCACATTAATGGAAGAACTACCTGTTTGAATAGAAAGGGCATGCCGTTGAGATTCAGCTCAACTTGGGTCTGACTTCTACTTTAACACTCTTCCTTATTAGCTCTCACTTAGCCTGTCTGTGTTTCAATTTCCTCATCAACAAAATGGGCAAGAAGTAGTAGCTATCTTACAGGATGCCACTGCGATGCTTAAATGAAAAGCTATGCAAAGTGTCTGGCAGTTGAATAGCTCAGTAATTGTTAGATAATATTATAATTGTTACCATTACTATTTTACCAAGACAACATTTCAATTAAGTAAAATAACAGTTTATCTACTTTGCTGCTGCAAGGATGAGAGAGAACACTGTACTTCAATGATTCTAACATGCTCATTGTCTCACACTTCAACATCTCTGACATGGGAAGGCAATTTAAAATCCGTGTCTTACAACCACAGTTGGCAGCTCCTCCCAGGCCCACCCCGCCCCGCCCCGCCCCAAAGCTGTTACCTGTTCTTCCTGTCTCTGCTGTCTACATTTTTCTTCCGTGACAGCAACTCCTGCACTGTCTGCGTGTCACCTAAATATGCGGCTTTGTGGAAGTCCTTTAGCTCACACCTATGGACATGATATCCAGGCACAGGCGTCTCACGATTCCTGCGCTCTCTCTGATGGATGCTGAAGTCCACCCAGCTCACGAACTGAGTGAGTCTCTTCTTCATCTGGCTTATCGCCTTCCGACACCACTCACTTCCCTCCTGGTCTCTTGCCACCTCCCAATCTCAGCGCTGGCGCTGCAGAAGAGCCACAGAGGTCTCGCTGCCACACCTTGGCTGTGAAGCTCAGCGGCTCGGAATGTTTGGTCCGGAACACTCGTAGCCTAGCAACAGCACTGACCCTCAACTGTCCCTCCAGAGCCAGTGTCCCTGTGAGTGTGCACAGAGGCCCAGAGGCCCAGGGTGCCCGGTGCACACGTGGGAGCCTAAGGCAATTCAAATCTCTGCAATTGCTTGTGGGCCATTTTGGATTCCCTTCAAAGGTTGGCGCTAGGTGGCTGAGTGTTCTGGGACATTTCCAGAAGTGAGGCTTGCCCCTGAGAAAGCCATGTTTGTATGCAACTGCGGTTAGAGTGAGGTGGAACCACAGGATGCTGAAGGCCTTGTTTCCCAGAGAGCTCCCCACCAAAACTCTCTGTATCTCCTTATCCCTCAGTGTATTCCTTTCCCCATCCCTCTGGGCTCCAGCCAGTCTCCAGGGAATTTAGTAGATGCAAACAGCAGAAAGCTGTTTTCATGGTTTCAGAGATTGTGGCAATATGTATCATTAAGTACAAACTTGAGAAACCAACACACGCTCTCCAGATGAAATAAAAATGTGTTTCCGCATGTCTGCTGGCCCTGCTCTGTGGCTCAGCCTTATGTTTACAC